CTGAACAAAAAAAAAAAAAAAAAAAAAAAAAAAAAAAAAAAAAAAAAAAAAAAAAAAAAAAAAAACCGTTTAAAGAAATTTTTTTTTTTTTTTTAAAAGAAAGGGGTTTTTTTTTTTTTTTTTTTTTTTTTTTTTTTTTTTTTTTTTTTTGGTTGCGGGGTGCCGGCGACCCCCGACGGGGTATGCAACACTGCTTTGACCTTTAAAAGGTGGAGTCACAGGAAAAATAAAAAATAAAAAAAAATGGCGGCAATGATGCATCCATGGCCTTTTTCTGTTTTCAAGGTGTAGCCCCTACCATTATCGTATCCCTCTGATGATTTTGATTCGATCAGGATTTGAACTCATGATCTGTTCAGCAACCGTTACATGCGTGCACCGCTCAGCCTTATGGGTGGGGTGAGATACTGCAACGGTTCGTCCCAGTTATCAACGAATTCGGAATTTCACCTCAGGACCTTGGGCAACGAAAGTAATGAGAAAAACCTTTGAAGTTTAAACTTCTCAGGTTTCCATGAAAGCCAGTGAGAACGCGTAAAGCCTTAAACCGCCAGTAGATGGGGGCAGCCAACTTGGGAATCACGACTGAGCCTCTCCGAACAAATCAGAGGCTCGGGGCAACCGGACCAAAATGGGTGGCGGCACCAGCCAAAACCACAACAAAAACGCCAAGCTGGCACTCTGGGACTTTTCTGGCTCACCTGGCTGGAACTACAGTCGGAATTCAAGGAATGTCCTAGTGTGAGTTCACCATTCGGTTCTAAACTCTGAAAACAAACCTTCTTCTTGTACAAGACTACTTCCTTCCCTTTAATACCCCCCCCCACCCTCCCCCTGCCCACCCAAAGCACAATATTTTTACTAAAAAAGAGGCCCCTTTTATTCTAGGGGGAATCAGCCCAGTTACCCATCCCTGGCACACAGATTTCTTTACCCCTTTTTTTTTGTACGCATACGTTGATTCTATTCGAATACAACGCATGTGCGTTCTATTCGAACAGCTGGTATGTTGGAATACAAGGCGTACGCGTTCCATTCGGATCATCTATAATTTTTTTTTGAGAAGTCGATTGCATATGCCTTATGTTCGGGAAGTGGGGGACGGTAGTTATGGCTGTCTACAAGTGAGGTATGCCCCGACCATACCGTGCCCCCCACCCCCGCCCCGTCAATCAGTTCTTGAAATTATCAAACAAACAAATACAAACAAACCTGCCAAATACAAACAAACCTGGCAAATACAAACAAACCTGCCAAATACAAACAAACCTGCCTAGCCCTCTAAGCTGTAGCGACTGGTAAGAACTTGCCTTTTGCCGTTCAGTTAAGTGCTCGCCGTGCCATCCTTTGGGAAAGTGATCTTCCAGGAACCGTGTGCTCAATTGTCCAGCAACGAAAGCCTGCACACAAAAAAGAGTGTACGTGTCATCAGAGTCCCGAGCGACAGGATAAGGGCATAGCCACACCACTCTCAAAATATACAACAAAATATGAATGAACTTCCAGCTAGAACATGGCCAGATGCACCTGCCACATTTTTGTCTTTTTCACATTCCAAGAGAGCGGTGTGGCGAGGCCCTAAACCTGCTAGGATTTCCATTCCACGAACATAGTCCAATTTTTTGCGAGTATATTACACTCGCCAAAAATTTCAAAACAATTGAAACCGAACCAAACAAACGAGTCGAAAACTTACCAAAACCTTTCATCGGGGTGAGACATCAGTCTGCCAAAGAATTCAAAACTCCCATGGTCCCTCACCAATCCAACTGCTTAATTACTTTATAGGTCTTTTCTACTACCTTCTCCCCCCGCACACAACATACCGTGCGGTATGGTCATTCTGCTTGTATTTAGACTGAAAGATACCCCAAAGACAGTTAAAATGACAGTACATTATATTCGGGGGAAGAAGGTACCCCTCTTCTGGTGCGTGTCATCCTCGAGCCACGTCTATCCTATGCAAGGAACCGGCCAAGAGAAAACTCGATTCAAAACCAAAACACAAACTCTTTTGGATGACCTGCATGTGGTGACCAGACTGGAAGCTGACTCCTCAAGGCAATGAGCACACCAACCGACGAAAAGGACGTCGAAGACCCTTGATGAAGAAAGCCCCCTTCTCCCCTCCCAACGATCAATACAACAACGATAGTGAAGAAAGCCCTCTTCTCGCCTCCCAACAACCGATAAACAACGATAGCAACAGTTCTTCGCCTCTCTTGATGGTCTTTCTACCGAGCATGCATGATCGGCTACTCTGCTGCTATCGTAGCCTACACTACAGCATCCACCATGTCCCAGAGGCCTTGTCATTCCCGTTGATGACCGCCTGGAGAACCTGCCACACTGGGGCTCCTCCTTGATACCCACCAGGTGAGCACTCGACAAACTTCTCTCTCCCGTGGCCTTTCCCCTCCCTCCAACAACCTGCCCCACCCCGGTGCCGCACTCACCAAGAAAACTGATGCTCAGAAGTTGCAGCTGCGACAATGAGCGCCCATGGCGCATGCCTCCCTCTCCCGAGAATATTCACAAGTGTGTGAGGACCCAAATGATAACCACCCTGCTTATTGCCAGCAGCGACGTTTCAATGCCGTCTCCAAATGGCATGACGAGTTCGACAACACAGGAAGGCAAGTCTATTTAACCCCTCTTCATTCATTCACCCCGCTTCATTCATTCACACCTTTTCATTCACACCTTTTCATTCACTCGGCACAGCAGGCCGGCGGCCGCAGATTGCAAAGTTTATAAAGGGAAGGGTCTTCGGTATCGAAATGAAATTAACCAGAGAAGAAAAAGGAAGGCAGGAAAGAAACTTTGACAAATCCGCAATCACATCTTTTCAAAACATACAAACGCCACAGCCAAGGAAAACTGTTTCTTTTTCTTTTTTTTTTCTTCTTTTTTTTTTTTTAAGAACTTTGACAAATCCGCAATCACATCTTTTCAAAACATACAAACGCCACAGCCAAGGAAAACTGTTTCTTTTTTTTTATTTTTATTTTAAGAACTTCTTACGCCTTTCTTAGGTGGGCGGGTTGCAGGGGTGGGGAGAGGGGGGCAGCCAAAACAAGAGAAACAGCACGTACCGGATGAGAGACCACTGACCGCAAAAATGGGATGTTATTTGTGACACCTCGAACAACGTAGCTATCCAAAGCCCGCTGCCAACACAGCACAAGACAGTGTCATCAACGGCAAGTTTCAGCAGATGTGAAGCCTAATCAGTGTTATCACCGAAATGAACACACAAACAATTCCAGGGAAAAGAAGAAAAAAAGTCAGCAAACGATCATAATGGTTGCAAATGTCAGCACAACTTTTGATGGTCGCAAATTTCATCAAATGATCTGGATGGGGACGAGGTGAAAGATTTCAGCCACTAAGCAAGCAGAGCACCCACCCAACAAGACACTGGCAATCCAAGGCCAAGGTCACATCTACGTGCCAGTGTCCAAACCTAACAGTCCTTGGCAGAATTGATACCTTCAGTACAACCTCAGGATCAACAGGAAACGTCGTTTTTTTCTCCAGAACAGAAGCTCAGAAACCTCCATTGACACACACACACACACACACACACACACACAGGGGGGGGGAGAGAGAGAGAGAGAGAGAGAGAGAGAGAGAGAGAGAGAGAGAGAGAGAGAGAGAGAGAGAGAGAGAGAGAGAGAGAGAGAGA